TCACCCTTAATAGGACTAAAACATAGAGTTTATGCCCAAAATAGGACTTCTATGTTTTTATCCTCAAAATAGGACCAAACATTACAATTATATCCTTGTTGCCCTTGCCCTCTCTTCTGTGTTAACTGCCGCCCTCCATCTCCTTTCTCATTGTTTTGTTTTCGTCCCTCATTTTTTTGTTTTTCCCTCTCTTCTTTTTTTTGTTTTCTTTGTGTTTTTTTCTTTCGTTCCTCTTTTTGTTTTTGTTTTTTTTTTGTTTTCTTTCTCTCTCCTTCCTCTTCTTTTGCATACAAAGACCACCTTTTTTCTTCTCTTTTTCATTGTACATGTAGTTACTACGTAGTACTCCCTAGTTATTAACTTCCTTTATACGTATTTATTTTTCCTTGTTTGACCCATTTATCTTTTTGTGTTTAATCACTTAATGCTTAAAGAAATAAAATATAGAGAAAGAGTTAAAATAGGAGTTTCATATTTTTATTCTCTAAATATATGTTCGCATTGTGGTAATATGACACTCTACATAGACATTTATTGTAATGTACATGGTCATGCTTGCTAATGTAAATGTATTTTAATTCAAATTTTGTAAATAAAAACATGAAAAATTAAATTTTATTTTGTGATTTTTTCATTTTTTACTTTCACTTTAGAGAAAGTACAAACATCGCAGCTCCATTTTTTTACTTTCAAAATAGAGTTTGTATTGTGGTAATGTGACATGTGGACATGTGGTTCAAGTACTTGTGGCCTTGTGGACATGTAGCGCGACCAGTGACGAAAAAATAGTTCTGTGTCACAAATGGCGAGGGGTATTTTGGGTATGGCGACGCAAATTAAGTCCTATTTGGGGGATTTAAGTTTTGGAGTCCTATTTAAGTATATTTGATATTTTTTAGTCCTATTTAAGGTTTTTTCCCAAAAAAAAGGTGAGTTTTGGTGTTTAAAGTGGTGAGCTTTGCTTTATTTCGAGGTGAGCTTTGCATTGTCCATTGGTGAGCTTTGTAGTGTAGTGTGGTGAGCTTTGCGTCATCTGACGGAAGCATGTCATCTCACCATAATCTCACTGGAGTCAATCCCATATATATATATATATATATATATATATATATATATATGTATGTATGTATGTATATATGAATGTACAATTACATAGAATAAATGGAAAATGAGCTGTAAAGTCTATAATTTTGGGCCGAGGCATAAAATATTAATCAGGCTCCCCTACCTAACACGACTACCGGAGATTGGGTGCTTAATGCTTCAAGGACAAATACTTGCAAAAGCCGACTGTCTCAAAGAAATTTGGAGACACAATAATACTCCCTCCGTCCCGCTATATTCGTCCACTTTTGACCTTTGGAACTGTTTATCTAAGTACTTTGACTCATCAAATTCTCTCAATGTGTAAGCCTAAATATAGTCTTGTGTGATCTTGTTTGATTTGTCTTAACATATAGATTATTAATATATAATTTTTATAATTTTTTAATATACAAATTACAAGATAAAATGAATTAAAGAAGTGTATTGGATGGTGTGCAAAAATGAAAGTGGACAAATACTCTGGGACGGAGGTAGTAGTCAGTTTCAACATTAAATAATGTTTTTAAATTTTATTTTAACTATATGTATTTTTAAAAGTTTAATAGAGAATGTTGTGGTTGTTAGAGTGTAAAAAACATTTTTAGGCCACAAACACAAACTTAAGCGTTTTGACTGAAATTGTTCATTGACAGTTGCTAGCATTTTTATTTTCATTATTTATATTTTGTTTTTATTTATAAAAATGTTTATTTAAAAATAATGAATAATGTAAAATAAATAGAGGGATGAGGAGAAGGCTATAAAATTGTACTCTCTCCGATCCTAAAAAATTGCCTCAATTTGATTTTTTGGTCAAATTGGGACTTTGACCACGAATTAAATATAATTTAAAATAAATATATACTAATAGTATAAAAATTTAATATTTTAAAATTATATTTTAAAATAAATATAATTTTACTTAATTTATATTATAAGAAAATATATTTTTAAAATAATTAACACTAAAAGAGTACCTTAAGTTGATCAAAAAAATGAAACTCTAATGATCTTTAACTTGGGAGGGAGAAGATATTTCGTGGGTCACAAAGAAAAAGTGGAATGATGAAGCTAATTGAATGCCCGGAGAGAAGTATAATGCACATTGTCCCATCATCTGTGTGCCCATACATCTCTATTCTCTCCTCCCCTCTACAATGAAACATGCTACATGTATCTTAAAATTTGTATCTCATTTGTATACTGAAGTTATGCACCAACATTTTGATTGTTTACATTGATACAAAGTACTCCATCCGTCCCTCTAAGATGTTCTCATTTTGACTTTTGGTGGTTTTTAAGGAGTGTTGAAAAAAGGTGAAAGTTTACCATAATATCCTTAATGAAAATGGGTGAAGTGTATTAAATGAGGTGAGTGAGGTGTAATAAATAAAGTAAGTGGAGGTAGTTATGGTATTTTAATTGTTAAAAAATGAAATGAGAAGATCTATTGTGGACAAAGAAAAATGGCTATTGGGAAGATCTATGAGGGACAGAGGAAGTATTAGTGCGTTAAAAAATTACATTGACACAAAGTGTTGGTGCATTAACAAAAATTAGCATTACACTAACACAAAATATTGGTGCATCTCTGCAGTGTACAAAATGGGATACAAATTCTTAAGTTACAAATAGCTTTGTCCCTCTACAATACCATAAATGGATGGACCATGCTATTACACAAAAATTTGTACCTCAAACTTACACCGAAGGTATATACCAACGTTTTGATGGTTTACACTAATACAAAATGTTGGTGCGTTAACAAAAATTTACACTGACACGAAGTGTTGGTATGTTAACAAAAATTAGCATTACACCAATATAAAATATTGGGACACACCTGCTTTGTATAAAATGAAGTACAAATAGCTTTATCGTAATCTTCGAGTCCATCCATAAGTATAATCATCTCTCTATCAAACAAATCTTTCTATCTCTCTATCGAGTATTTTTACTAAAACTCATTTTTCATTCATTAATTTTATATCATTTCTTTTATTTTATTCAAAATTAAATTAAAATAAAAAAGAATAGAAAAGAAAAAGAAAAGTATATGAAAAAATATATTTATATGAAGTAAATCTTTTGTGCATTAGTGCAAAAAATATTATTAATCTAGAATCAACTACGGAGTATATATTAAAAAGACGTTACTTTATATTCTTTTGGTCCCTACATATTCAAAAAGATAAAAATATTTTTAGACAAAAAATTATTTGATTTCACAATTGAAATATATGTAAAAAAATTATTTCAAACACAAATATCTTTTATATTTTAAAATTTATTTAGAAATGTAGGTTTGAAAAAAAATTCATTATTTCACACACCAACGTTTTTCTTTTCTTTATGAAATTAGAAAAGAAATTAAAATAGAAGAATGATTAAGAAAAAGGAGAGTAGGCGTTGGCGCCTATTTCCAAAACTATATGGGACAACGGAATTATTTACCTATTATTTGAAGAATATTTTTGTCCTATGAGCATTAGCGTAGCAATATTTTTGTCCTATGAGGGACAATGACGTAAGTTTTGAAACCATGAGGGTTGATAGTGCACATTTACCAAATCAAAAGGGGTGTTGGTGTGATAATCTCTTTTAATTATTTATACAAAGTATTTTGTTTTTATTTATAAAAGTGTTTAATAAAAAATAATGAATAATGTAAAATAAATAGAGGGATGAGGAGAAGGCTATAAAATTGCACTTCCTCCAACTCTAAAAGATTACCACAGTTTGACTTTTTGGTCAAATTGTGACACTCTTTGAGCATGAAATAGTTTAAAATATTTAAATACTAAGAGTATAAAAAATTGATATTTTTGTTAGACAATAATAATAGTACTCCCTCCGTCCCTAAATAAACTTCTCCTTTTATTTTTTCTTTGTCCCAAAATAAACTTCTCTTTTCCCTTAAAAAACCCCTTTTATCCCTTACTTTTTCATACCCTACCTATCACATCATACTTTTTAACTAATAATCTACATATCACATCTTACTTTTACACATCACATCAAGGGTATTTTTGGAAAGTCAACAAAAAAAATCCCTCCCTTAAATTCTTAAAAATTCAAAAAGGGAAGTTTATTTAGGGACAGAGGAAGTATTACTTATGGCAGTATTATTGGTTATGATAGTTTTTCATTATTAGTCAGCTTTATATTCTTATTTATGGTAGATGTAGTATTTTAGTTAGTTTTCATTCTCTATTTCTAGTTACGTTAGGAGTTTCTTCTGTATATACTCTATCATTTGCTCAATAATTCAATGAACAATATTATTATTCTAATATTTCAATAATTTCAAAATTATATTTCAAAATAAATTCAATTTCACTAAATTTATGTTATAAGTAAAACTCCATCCATCTCCAATTTGATAAAAATAATTTTTTCTCTCTCTTCTCGATAACTTTTGTTTGTTTACGTGATTTCATTAAGTATTTGATAAAATAAAATATTTTTTTCAACTCTTGTTTTGAAATATGTAATTTTTATTTCTTATCAATATACTAATTTATAAATAAAATGATTTTAAAAAGTGATATATTTCTTCTTGTAAAATCCAATTTGTATTCAAATTGGCGAAGGAAGTATATTTTTTACATAATTAACTACTAGAATTAGAGCACCATAATTTGATCAAAAATGAAACTCTAGCAATCTTTAGCATGGGAGGGTGCAGAAATTTCGTGGGTCAAAATGAAAAAGTGGAATGATGAAATCAATTAAATGCTTTGAGAGAAGTAATGAAGTATAATGGCCACATTGTCCCATCACCCCTACATCTTTTGCTGAAGCACCATGTGATGGATCTGCTGATACTAATTAATTTGTCATCTCTACTCCCTCTACAATACCATACATGCATTATGATGCATATATACATACCCGGCCCCCAAGTCTAAGCCGGCCACCATCCACAAGTATTCTATAATCATCATCTATCTATCTACCACACAACAAATCTTTCGTCTATTATCTCTATCAAAGTGTTATGGCTTCCCTTCTCACAGCAAACAACAAACAGTCTTTTACTCCACCACTCCCGACGTCCATAGTTGTTTCTGTTGTGCTGGTGTTGCTCCTCCAACAAACCACCAATAATGTCTCCTGCGAGCTTCACCGCCTTCCCGCCGATGTATCCCAAGGCGCCGTTTGCCCTGACGGCAGCCCGCCCGCTTATGAATGGGAAGCCGGGAAAGGCCGCCATGGGGCGAGCAATTGGCTGGTTTACCTCCAAGGCTCCGGCTGGTGCCTGAACACCTCCGCCCATCGCATTCCTGGTGGCGCCGTTCAAAGCTGTGCGGAACGGGCAATGACTGACCTTGGTTCTTCCCGCCGCATGGATCCTTATGAGTTCTCTCGCCACCCCATTCTTTCTCCCCGGCCCAATGATACTTTTTTCTATGATTGGAACCGGGTGGTGGTGAGATCATGTGACGGGGGGTCGTTCTCCGGGGACGCCGACATGCCGGATCCCGTCACGGGTCTTCACTACCGTGGCGCGAGGGTGTTCCGCGCTGTCGTGGAGGACCTGATGGCGAGGGGGTTGAAAAATGCCCGGAATGTCCTCCTCGCCGGAGGTTCGTCCGGCGGGCTCGGGGTCATGGTGCACTGTGACCGGTTCCGGCGCATGTTCTCGAGGAACGTCAGGGTGAAGTGTCACACTGACAGTTCCTTCTTCCTCCGCGTCAGAGACCCACGCCGGCCGCGGTTCTTTGACGACATCTTCGGCAACATTGTGGGTGTGCACCGTCCGGACAATGCATTGCCCGGACGGTGCACTTCGAGGATAGGCGTGGGTGCGGTATATCGAATCGCTGTTGTTCATTTTGAACTCGGAGTTCGATTCGTTCCAGGTGACGAACACGTTCTCCAAGGCCTTGCATGAAAATGTCATAAACCACAACGTTAGCCGGAGCGACATGGCAATCCTCCGAGACTTCCGGGGCCAAACAATCGGAGCACTGCCGCGACCAAGCAGCACGAAGGGGTATCTACTCACATCCCTCTTCATGCACAGTCTCGGAACGACGCAGGGCTACAAAGGGCCAATGTTTCCGGGGCGCAAGTCCAAATCTTTTGAGAGTGCGTTGGTCGATTGGTTTTTCGATCGAGCGACCAATGTTCATCTCATAGACCCCGCGAAACAACCCTTTTATTGAACGCCCTGTGGAGTTGAGGAGATGACATCAACTTAAATAAATGAGTTTAATTAGTTGATGTGAATAATGTGTACTTAGCAATGTGTCGTTAACTACTTAATGAATGTTATTGAGCTGTTGTGTTCTTAATTAATCTCCTCTTTCCTTAATTATTGTATGATTAAGTTCTTGTTCCCGAACCCGTCATGGGGCTCTATATCTAATATCTCTCGTGGGATTCACTAATATGTTCCTTGCACTCCATTCTAATCAATAGTAAAATTAAAACAATGACCATTAATTTTTTCTATAAAATAAATTACTTAAATAGGACTAAAACATAATGACTTTCCCAATATAGGATCATATGTTTTTATTTCCCAATATAGGACTTTTGGTCATTATCAAGTAGCCATTATTCAAGTAAATGTCTAGCATTACTGGACATTATTCCTCCCACTAGGTCATTATTAAGTCCTATTTAGAGAATAAAAAAGTTTAAGTCATACATTAGAAAAGTCATTATGTTTTAGTCCTATTTAGTGCAAATTTCACATAAAAAATTTACTCATTGTTTAATTGAAGTCTATATAAATTTACTCCTAAACTTAATTGATAATGGAGCACATGCATAGAAAAAGTTTGACGTTAAAAAGAAGATATCTTGATTTTCTTATTACAATCTATTAATTACTCCCTTGGTTTTAGAGTATTTGTTTACTCTTAACTTTTTTCGATAAAATTAGTGAACTTTGACCCCAAATTAAAATGATACTCTGAAGTATTAGGTATTGATATAAAAATAGTTTTATTAGATTTATTACATCAAATATTTTTGAAATATTATTTTATCTAATCAATATACTCCGTACAATATATATTTTATGTAATTATATGTCAAAGGCTAAAACGACCGACAGAAAAAAATTAAAAGAAAAATGCTAGGGGTATACCATTTGGTGTACCCCATTTGTCCTCCACCCCCTCCATTACCACATAAATAGGCAAAAATTTTAAAAAAATTTAAATAAATAAAAAGTAAATAAAAATGGGTGGTGGAGAAGGGGGTGGGGGACAAATGGGGTACACCTACCCCTAAATCTAACGGATTCCATTTCTTTCTTTTACCCAACTTGCACTTTAATAACTTAGCCCAACCATTTCTTTCTTTTACCCAACTTACACTTCAATGATTAGCCCAAAATAGATAGGGACACAGGGAGGCAGCAGAAAAAGGTGACAGGGGGAGAAAATAGTCATATTTAGCAAAGAGGTGTCTAAATCCTTATCGGGGCTTTTAATTACTTGCCCAGTCAATGCATTAATATCTCCATCTTGCTTCATCAACTTTTTTCTCTTTCAATTCTTTCATTATTGTCCTCCCAAAAGAAAAAAAAACCCATTGTTTCCTTGCACGCTTAACCTTGTTTGAAAAAGATATTTGTACCTCAATGATTTGTAACCCATTTTGTATTCCGCATAGATGCACTAACATTTTGTGTTTGTGTAATGCTATATATTTTTGTTAACACACCAACACTTTGTGTCAAGGTAAATTTTTGTTAACGCACCAACACTTTGTGTCAGTGTGAACTATCAAAGTGTTGGTGCATACTTTTGGTGTACAAATGAGATACAAATTTTGGGGTACATGCAGCATGCTCCAAATAAATATTTAAAATGTGGAATAATAAGACGGGTACTCCACTTTTCTTTCTTATTTGCTTTGTGTGACTTGTCTCTATTGGTTTCCATTTTGGTGTATGTTGGGTAAATAATAAAATAAATATTCCATTGTTTCAAAAAAGATTTCACAATTCACTGTTAAATAAATTTATGGTATGTTTGGAAACATAGATTTAGATTTCAAATCTAGATTTGGCTCAAATTTCATGTTTGGGAAGTTTAAGATTTTAAATTTTGGATTTGAGTCAAATTAATATCATTCAAAACAAAGCTTGATTAGAAATTCATGCACCTCCCCTTTTCATTTGAAATTCGGGATTTTAAATTTTGGAATTGAAATGCATGAATTGAACTAAATTGTTAGTTCGCAAACACTACCTTAGAAATTTTTTTATTTGTACATTTTCATCAATTATTTAATTATGTATGGGGTAACTTTTTTTGTCACATTGTATTTTGAAAAATCTTTTATATACTTCCTCTGTCCCTAAAAATGTTTCTTGTATTGACTTTTAGATAATTTAAGTAGAGTATATATATGTTCGTGTTGACTTTTAGAAATATCCTTTGATATGATAGGTAAAAGTATAAGATAATAAATAGATTAATAGTGAATCGATATGATATACTCTGTATTAGATAGGATAAGAATTAGCAGAGATAAACGTGAATTTTTAATACAAAATAGAAATGTTTTTTGGGATGAATAAAAATGAAAGAAAAATTTTCAGAGATAGAGGGAATAGTTCTTTAAGTATGAAACTAATTTTTATTTTTATATTAACATGTAAACAAAATAAATTAAAAAATATAGTTTTACTTCATTTTATATGACAAACATTTTGGGATAGAAGTATGAATTGAAAGTACCAATGAAATCTTTTTCACCTAATCTTTTCCCCTGCATGAAATCACATTACATCACATTAAATCAAAGTTAAATTGAATTAGAATTAATCTATATCATTAGATCTTAAATTAACAAATTCAGTATAAAATTAAATCATTGTTAAACTTATATTTAATGTGATATAATTTGATAGTAATTGGTAACATAATCAAGATTCTACAAGCATTTCTTATTAACACAAGAAATTAAACTTGGTATTTTAAATAAAAGAATTTAAACTTGCATAAATAAAGATAATTAAAGGTTTAGTATTGACTATTTGAGCTACTAAATTGAAGTTAAAAATTACGGAGTATGATTAGTGTGGTGTAACACCGAGTAAATGACATTAATGTGCTGGTAAAAAATTATTTACCACGAGTAGTCGGAGTAGATGATACTAAGAGGTACTCCCTCCGTCCGGGAATGATAGTTCCACTTTGACTTTTTCTTATTTTTAAGAGGAGTGGAAAAAGGCTTTGAAATGTCCACTTTACCCTTGGTACTCAGATCCATTTCCAGATATGCAAATGGCTCATCACAGTACAGACTTAACTTATTCATAGGAAAATGCTCATCACAGTACACACTCTCCACTTAAGAGAAGCACAGATTTGAAATTCAATTCAGAATAAATTCAGAAAGAATTAGAGTGAAAGGAAAGGAACATCCCTACTTGTACTGTGAAGCCCAAAAGTTAGGATCCGGGGTGGGCATTAATATGTTCAGCAGATCGATGTGGAGGTGCATGCAAGAGTTCATGGATGGAGAAGTCTGATTCTCAAGAAATTCAGACCCCTCTACATCCTCAAAACTGCCATCTTCCTCGCTCCCAAACAGTGAATCTTCATCAGAGTCAAGGACGATAACCGCGTTCTTATCTCTGACCGGGGCAACATCGGCATCATCGTCATCGCTGTGGATGACGATGACCTCGTCCTCCTTCGCGTCAGAGGTGGAAGATAGATGAATCACATCGTCCTCAACTCCAATGTCCTGAAATTCCGTCTCAGGGATGATGGAATCGTAAAGAAAGTATTCAGATTCCATGATTTGAGGCGGAGATGTATAGATCTGGGAGAAGAACGAGAGAAGCACAGGGATTGGGAGAGAAGAAGAACCGACTGAGAGAGAGAGAGTATAGATCTGGGAGGTGGGCGAGAGAGTTTAATTGGGGAGGTGGGTTGGGTAGATAGGAGTGAATGTGAGGATATTAAATGAGAGGGGTATTTTAGGGAGAATAGAGGAAAAAGGGTACAATGGGACCATCATTCCCGGACGGAGAAAAACGTACAATGGGACTATCATTCCCGGACGGAGGGAGTACATATGAATTCTAGGACTTCAAAACTTCTCTCTTCCATGTCAGCTTTAACTTACCTCACAATATAAATGGGTTTGAATCTCTGTGGCTTAAATAATTGAGGCTTCAAACCTTTATTTTTTACATTCTTAATTTGCATGCATCTTCTAAAAATAAATTAAATAAAACTTCATTTTAATTAAATTTAAATGAAACCAATTCATTAAATTAAAAAATTACATTCAATAAAAAAGAACATTTAATTAAAAAAATACATTAATAAAAAACTAAGACAAATTACATTTGGTCTTGATATCTTTTTGTCTTCTCTCGTGAAGCATATATACGTTTGAAGCACGATAACACATCAAGGTCGCTTTCCATCATTTCGATCTAGCTCTTCCTTCTGTTGCCTCTGTTTCTTCCTCTCTTCTTCCCTAATATTGAACTCCCGCATTTGTTCAACCATTACCCGCCAAATTTCATCGTGAGAGGAAACAGAGTAAGACCCTCCAGAACCCAAGAAAATGGATTTTTCCTTCTTCATTCCCATCGGCCGTGGAATGGGGTCCTCGTCGTCGGAGTCGTCGAGATTGAAGGGAGACCTTTGTTCGAAAGAGCCGATAGTCTCATCGAACTCAACCTCGACGGAGGATCTTTTCTTTGACGATCTGGTCTCGGGGTTGTTGAGTTAACATTTTCAAAGTTAATCTGCACCGTTAAAATTTTATCCAAAACGCTCCCAAATAAACGGGTCTACCACAACAATATATAGTTCGAATTTTAATTTAGAATGCTATATGCATACCAAATTGTACCCCAATTTAAACACCATTTCTTTGCTTACCACACATTTTGATACGGGCCTAGACGACCAAGAGACAGAGCACAGGAACAATGAGGTGCCGGAACGACCCCGACGACTTATTCGACCACCGCGATGCTACAAGGATTATGTTTAGCTATTTTTATTTTTCATTGTAACATAGATTTTATTAGGCGGGCGAACTATAAGCCCCTTCAAGGGTTTTCTTTTCGGTTCTTTCCCTTGATGCTTTTATTGAACCGACATGTTAGTTTTTTCCTTTTATTTTTAGGGTTAGAGGAGGACACACCTATAAAAGATGCATGTATGGAAACCACCGAAGGCATGGAATGAAAAATTAATCCTCTCTCCTAGAAACTCTCTTCTCTCCTTCTTCTTCTCAAACCCTAGCCCTACTGACGTTCAACCCCAAGCCGCCGTAGAAGCCGGTTGTGCAGGGACTCGGACGGACAACTCCTTCCTCGTGCGTATCAACTGGTGCTCTCTTTCTCGATCTCATGTCTACCCCGAACGAGACTTCACCGGTTACCTTGGACGATATCATACAAGCCATCACCACCCTCTCCAACGATTTGCATGCAACCAAGCTTCGTGTTGCGCCATGGAGGACACACAGCGCCAACCAGGTTGGCGGCCACTGCCGTCGCGCACGACTCCGCCGGCGTTTGACCCAGCCCCGCGGATGCGTGTGGACGCACCTCGCTTCTCCGGTGATGACCCGACGGGCTGGATTTTTCGGGTACAAAAATACTTTGATTACTTCTTGACACCCGAGCCGGAACGATTACAATTGGTAGCCATGTTAATCGATCACCCGGCATCCGAGTGGTTCCATTATTACCAGGCGAACAACTCAAGCGCGTCGTGGCACGAGTTCTTGGAGGCTGTGCATCAACGCTTCGATCCGGACTATTACGAGAATTATGTGGGTCTCTTGTCCAAACTCACGCAAACTTCCACCGTCATTGATTATCAGGCTGCCTTCGAGGCTATTTTGAATAAAGTGTCGGGGGTACCTGATACCGCTTTGATTGCCATGTATGTGGCGGGTCTTAGGCAACCGTTACAGCGCGAGGTGAACCTTCGTGGTCCAACCACTCTCCAGGAAACATTTGCTCTTGCCTGGGAACTCTCTGCTTGTCTTGTGGATGCAGCGAATTCCTACGCCAACGCTGGGCGACAACCCTGGCAGTCGCGGCCGGGACCTTCTGGATCCTCCCCGTCTCTTGGGCTTCTCCCTACGTCTCCAGTTTCTATGAAGCAGCCCACACCGGCGCCGCAGAACCCTGATAAAACATCTACTTTGCCGATTGTTAAGTTGACCAACGCCGAGAAAACAGAACGGAGTAAAAAGGGCTTGTGTTGGTATTGCGACGAGCGATGGTCACCAACCCACCACTGTAAACATCGTTTCCTCGTGCTCATGGGCCAGACGACGAGGACGCAGTGGCTGACGAGTTGGAGTCGCCGGAGGTTACTTCGGACATGGCCCTCATCTCTACGGATATCTCCAGTATTCACTCATTAGCGGGAAGTCCAAGTCCTCGATCCTTGCGTTTGGCAGGGATGATCAACAATGGGGCGGTCCAGGTCTTTTTGGATGGGGGCAGTACGCATAATTTCATCCACCCCGCCGTTGCCGAACACCTCGCCCTTCCGCTACATCCGATTTCTCCCTTCCGTGTGTACGTCGGGAATGGGGACTCGTTACGTTGCACCTATTCATGCCCGCAGACACCACTCTCTTTACAGGGCCATTGCTTCAACATTGATTTATACCTCCTTGAAATACACGGCCAAGATGTTGTTTTGGGTGTCCAGTGGCTTCAAACCCTAGGGAAGGTGGCTCACGATTACTCTCAGATGACCATGAAGTTCTCTTGGAAGGGCGACACCGTCACGTTGCGCGGCGATCAGCCCCATCCTCGGCCCTTATCTTACAGCCAATTCTGCACTTTGGTGGCAACCGATGCGGTTACAGAGGTGTTCGAGTTACTCCTATCCAATGCCCAGGTCCTACCTTCTTCCACGGCCGAAGTGGTATTCCCCGGAGATCTGCCCGAACCTATCTGCATGGTATTGGAGAGACATTCGGCGGTGTTTGGCTTACCTCCAGGACTGCCGCTGTCGAGATGTTGGGATCACCGCCTTCATTTGGAGCCGGGAACCAAACCGGCTAATGTCCGACCATACTGTTACCCTTATTTCTAAAAGACGGAAATCGAGCGACAAGTGAAGGAAATGCTCGACCAGGGCCTAATTCGCCCCAGCACCAGTCCGTTCTCCTTTCCTGTCTTACTTGTGCGTAAGAAAGATGGGTCGTTTTGGTTCTGTATTGATTATCGTGCTCTCAACAAGGTCACCGTACCTGATCACTTTCCGATCCCGACTGCGGATGAGCTGTTTGACGAACTAGGCGCAGCCCGAATCTTCACTAAACTGGACCTACGATCGGGCTATCACCAGATTCGGATGCACACAGACGACATATTTAAGACTATTTTTCGCACACATGACGGCCATCATGAGTTCTTGGTTATGCCGTTTGGGCTTACGAACGCCCCCTCTACCTTCGAGTGTGCTATTAATAACATCTTCTGGGCTCATCTACGACGCTTCGTTATCGTCTTCTTTGACGATATCTTGATCTACAATACGACCGTCGAGGGCCATGCCGACCATTTGAAGACCGTCCTCTCTACCTTGCATGCCCACTCTTTTTACGTGAAGCACAACAAGTGCTCCTTTGGCCGCACTTCCATTAATTATTTGGGTCATTTTCTCGGCCTTACGGGGTATTACCGGCGCTTTATTGCTGGCTACGCCGCCATCGCAGCCCCCCTCACTGATTTACTAAAAAAGGACGGCTTCATGTGGACTCCCGCGGCCGACGACGCCTTTGCCCGGCTAAAGCTTGCAATGACGACAGCCCCTGTTTTACACCTTCCATACTTTTCCTTGCCGTTCTATGTGGAGACAGATGCTTCCTCTACCGGCGTTGGCGCGGTGCTAATGCAGCGGGGTCACCCGTTGGCCTTCTTTAGCAAGAAATTGGGACCCAAACGCCAAGCAGCGTCTACTTATCACAAGGAATTATATGCGATTGTTGAAGCCATTCAGAAGTGGCGCCAGTATCTTTGGGTCGTGAATTTATCATTCGGACAGATCAACGTAGCTTAAAGGAGATACTGTCACAGGTGGTTCAGACGCCCGAGCAGTAGTTCTATATCCGAAAGCTTATGGGATTAAAGTTTCGAATTGAGTATAAATCGGGGGTGACTAATAAGGCGGCAGATGCGTTGTCACGTCAAATGGATGAGGGTGATGACGCGGGTCTTTTTATGGTGTTTGCTCAGCCGGTGCCGCACTTATTACGCGACTTACAGCGCGAAAACGAGACTCTCCCCGACTTATTAGCGCTTCACGGGGAGGTCACGCGGGGGGTTGCTTCGGCCGATTTCTCCATCCACAACGGCCTGTTATACTACAAAACCCGCCTTTACATCAGCCCGTCTTCCCCCTTGCGCGACGTACTACTGACCGAGTTTCACGCCACGCCGACCGCAGGACATCAAGGCACCGAGCGCACCTTTAAACGGCTTGCACGGGTTTTTTATTGGCCCAATCTGCGTCGTGAGGTCCGTCGTTTTGTTGCTTCATGTATGGTTTGTCAAACCACAAAATACTCCACACAAAAACCTGGGGGTCTCCTTCAACCACTACCGGTTCCAGAGCAGGTGTGGGAGTCGGTGTCCATGGACTTTGTCACCGGCCTACCGCCTTCGCACGGGTTCTCTGTCATAATGGTGGTTGTCGATCGTCTGAGCAAGTACGCCCACTTCGGGCCATTACACGCGGGTTTTGACGCGCCGCGAACGGCTCAGCTCTTTGTTGAAATGGTCGTTAAACATCATGGATTTCCTCAGTCTCTTATCTCGGATCGGGATCCGGTTTTTATGAGTCAATTTTGGAAGGAATTGTTACGATTGAGCGGCACTTCACTGAAGTTCTCTACGGCCTATCACCCGCAATCGGATGGACAGACCGAGGTGCTCAACCGCAGCCTGGAGCAGTACTTGTGGGCTTTTACTTCGGAACGACCGCGCCAGTGGTCACACTTTCTTCCTTGGGCCGAGCTGGCGTTGAACTGCAGCCACCACGAGGGTCTGCGTGTCTCTCCCTTTCAGGCCCTATATGGCCGCCCGCCACCATCTGTCTTCCCCACACTCTCCGTGCGTTCCAAGGTTGCTGAGGTTGAGATCCTGTTGCGTGAACGAGTAGAGTTACTGGCCGACCTTCGGGCCAATCTCATCAAGATGCAGCAGCGGATGCGCTCACAAAAAAATCAGCATCGTCGCGACGTCTCCTTCGCGGTTGGGGATTTGGTTCATCTCAAACTCTGTCCTTACCGCCAACATTCGGTGGCTAGGCCGTTGTCGTCTAAGCTTGACCGGCGTTACTACGGGCCGTTTGAAGTTTTGGAGCACATAGGCGTTGTGGTGTATTGTCTTCGTCTGCCGGAGGGCTGCCGCATACACGACGTTTTCCGTGTCTCCCTCTTGAAGCCTTTTGTCGCTCGTGATGGCAGTACCCCCGCCGCAGCACTGCCGGCCGATTTCTTTAAAGGGCAGCCCATTTTGTCTCCAGTGGTCGCCATTGCTAGTCGGACAGTTTTGGTGAACGGTGAATCACAAGAACAATGGTTGGTTCGTTGGACAGATGGTAGAGACGCGGACGCGACCTGGAGCCCGTCGCGGAATTGGTGCAACATTACCCTGAGCTCCGCCTTGAGGACAAGGTCGCTCTCGAGTCCGTGGGAGTTGATACGGGCCTGGACGACCAAGAGACAGAGCACATGGACAATGAGGTGTCGGAACGACCCCGACGACTTATTCGACCACCGCGACGCTACGAGGATTATGTTTAGCTATTTTTATTTTTATTTTTCATTGTAACGTAGATTTTACTAGGCGGGCGAACTATAAGCCCCTTCAAGGGTTTTTTTTTCGGTTCTTTCCCTTGACGCTTTTATTGAACCGACATGTTAGTTTTTTCCTTTTATTTTTAGGGTTAGAGGAGGACACACCCATAAAAGATGCATGTACGGAAACCACCGAAGGCATGGAATGAAAAATTAATCCTCTCTCCTAGAAACTCTCTTCTCTCCTTCTTCCTCTCAAACTCTAGCCCTACTGCCGTTCCACCCCAAGCCGCCGCCCAAGCCGCCGTAGAAGCCGGTTGCGCGCGCAGGGACTCGGACGGACAACTCCTTCCTCGTGCGTATCACATTTCTTGGAGTTGATAAACAAATAGTGAGTGAATAAGACATATTTGAAGTTGGAGTATTTATTTATGGTAAAACCTCAAAGGAGTTTCCAATACTACCTCTAGTTTTTGGGCAAAAAGAATTGTGTATAGCACATGGGCAATTGAGAGAAGTAGGACCACATTTAATAAGTTTTTAACATATCATCACAAAATATGTTACATGCTTCTTCTAATAGGAGTGTATCATTTACGCCACCGAGCCGTGCTGCGTTGACTTCAATTCATAGCATAGCATAGCTCATAACACTTACAAAATGGTTTGGGGTCACACAGATTCCACCCCATGCAATAATAAAAATGTGAAAAGAGCTATTTTTACTAACACCGTACCATTATGATCTGGTTAGAAATAACCCTTTCCCTGCTCTCAAAAAATAAAAGTATACTTCATTATTGAAATATTTGCACTAAATACTACTAAAACTTAAGTTTTTTTCCTAAATACTCCCTCCGTCCCAAATTATAATGTCTGTTCACTATTCACAGGGTCAAACTTCATTCACTTTCTTTCTCTATTTTCGTTAGCAATTTGATAAAATAAAATATTGTTGTCACTACTAGTTTTGTAGATCTTTTGATGTTGTATTTTGATATGTAATTTTTATTTTTTTAATTTTATATCATTTGTCATATAAAATGATTTGAAAATAACTTCAGTCAAACATCGTAAACCGAAACAGGCGTTATAAAATGGGACGGAGGGAGTAGCACTTAAACTATTTTATTTTTTAAATAGCACTTAATAATGTCCAGTGATGGCGAACATTTACTTGAATAATGATTAATGGATGATGACTAAAAGGACTACATTGAAAGAAAAAAACACATGTGATACTATTTAGGAAAAGTCATCATGTTTTAGTGCTATTAACGTAAATTCTCCTTCATTATTTGATCACGAATTTTAAAAAAGTGAAATTATGAGGTGAAAGTTTAATTTATGAAGAGGGAGATAAAAGAACAAGGAACAAACCCATGAGCACACTAAGTATTCCCTCGATCTCAATTTGGATTACATGTAGGAGTTACGAGGAAAAATATTTCATCTTTTGAAATTATTTTATTTATAAACTGGTATATATCAATAAAAATAAAATTTATATATTCAAAAATTATGTTAGAAGTTTTACAAAACAAGTGATAATAAGAATGTTTTTATTTTATCACATAATGAATAAAATACACAAATATGAAAAGGGGGCGGCGTTTAACGTCTCCGTGCGTTTAAAATAAACAAATATGAAAGAGTAACTAGATTGGTTCACAAGACACTATAGTTGAATCATATAAAAAGATTGAATTCAACTGATCAATTACTTCAACTCAAGATCTTATATACGGAGTATCTATTATTTTCTTCTCATTTTTCTTATGTGGGATATTCTTTAATATTTTTAATTGGTGCTTGTTTTCATTTTTCTTTAAAAAAAATCAAATGTAAATGTTATGCATTATGCTGCACGTGGAAGCATGGGTAAAAAAAAGTCACTTGAAGAGTCTCTAGATTTCTACTGCTTAAGTTTTTATGTCTGCAATTAATTGTTTTGGAGAATGGGTGCTCTAAGAGGACAATAATGAAATAATTGAAAGAGGAAACACTTGAGAAAATGGACTAAAAAATTACCCATTTACAATTCTATTATGCCCCATACCTCAATGGGACTAAAAAATTACCCATTTACAATTCTAATATGCCCCATACCTCAATGGGGACTAAAAAGAATTACTCATCTCAACGTCCACAAATTTTTTTGTTAGAATTAATCCTTTCTTTCCATAGTGTATGACATAATCTCAAATTTAAAATAGTTGTAACCGAAAACTAGACCTGGCAAAAAATGACTCGACTTATTTTTTACTCAAGACCTAATCCAAAAATATTAGATTTTGAACAAATATTTTGTTGAGCGAATCCAAAGATGATTGGACCCAAAATAACCCGCTAAAAATGAGTCAAACCATGCCGAATTCGAAAGTGACTGAATCCAAGATGACCCGCTAATGTAAGAATTTTTCAATATGAAATATAATGTTCTAAAAATAAGATTATAATAATACTCTTTCTTAGTACTCTTTTATCTTACGTAGTATATAAATTTATATTTTCATACAAAATCTTAATAATGTCATAAAATTATTCTACTTTTCCCAAAACCTCGATATACTTAATTTTTTTATTCTTAATATTGACACTGAGTCACAATAGTTACTTAAAATATAAAAAAATAAAGGTCATTATTCGTTGGATCGACACGAACTTGATAATACTGAATTATGAACATGTAGTAATCAACCAAAATCCAAACTTATCCGAACCTGAAATAACCCAAATTGACCGACCATTTTACCCGCTCTACCTAGTATCCTCTTTTGTTTTTTTTTGGCGCAAAACTCACCTTTCATGAGCTCTGCATTACAATCTCGACTTTCAAAATGTTTGCATACATCTGACTAACATGAACTTATTCATTACTGCATAATCAAAGAGAGATCAACTCCACAACTGCCTTACAGCCACAGTATTAAAACAGAGTTACATTACTTACATGTGGGGGGGGGGGAGCAAATGGAAATTTTGCTTGGATATGATATACATTGGCACCCCTTAACTTACAAGACCTGGATGAATTTCCCACAGATTTTCACCAGATTTGCATGAAATTTATGGTGTGGGCTAATTATAAACAACCAATACACGCTATAAGTTCCATGCCACAGATACCCATGTAGGCGCCGATGATGATGATGATGACAATGATTATCCATGACATCACCTACATCATCATCAGGCATCTGCGAATTCTGCACAGCGCAATTTCCAGGTCCCAAAACATGCAGCTTCTAAGTCAAAGGGGATGCATACATGCATCTTGTGCAATAGAATTAGTCCCACGGGAAGTCAAGAAGGAAGACATTAGGTGACCCTTCCTCATTCCTAGAATTCCTGACCATCACCTGGCTTTAATGGATACTCAAGCCCGCGGAGTGCAGGCATTGATCCAAAATCTTCTTTTGAGTAAGCCGGTATAAGCCAGTATCGTTTGTCCGTTCCAAATACCTGACCCAAAAAAAAGACAGCTAAATACAGAGTATCTACAAATGGCTTGAGAGAAGTGAAGAATGTGAGTACATGCAATTAGAGTAATTTGTGGTTTTGACTCTCATACTTATATTCCCCCCTCCCAGACCTCCGTTTAAATCAACAAATTTGGGTCCCCAACTATTGAAACACGCCCATTATATGTGGATGCTGGCCGTGGGTGGAGTAGTAGTGGGGGTGGGGGGTAAAGTTATCTCACATCGGCAAAATACGAGTGAACAAACCCCTTAATAAGCATAAGGTAAACCTCAGCTGTTGAAAGCTTTTTTGGGGTGAGTTAAGCCCTTAAGCCTAGCACTTATTCTTAACATTGTAGTCCTAGAGTGTGCTAGCTTTGGTCTTTCGGAGGACAAAATTTGGCACATTTAACATTTAAATTATTTGGAGGCGGTTGTTGTTGTAACATTTACATTATTCCCTTTACTTTTGTGATTACCTACTACACCAAACTATTAAAACAATGGCGTGAACTTTTTATTGAAGTGGCATGAGCAATGCTAATGAGCATGCTCATTCATACTTGACTTTTGCCAACTTTTTTTTACCAAATTCAATGTGCATTTGTTTATATATTTTATTTTATGGGAAAATAGAGGGATGCAATACAATTATTTATCCTGTGATGACTAAAGTGTATATTAGATAAAGAGTATAAGGACGAACTTTATTCCTCATACAATAAACAACTTTTTTTTTGCAATTTTGCATAAAATAAAAAGAATAAACAAATCCAAGTTGTAGGTAAGGAAAAAAGTAAATAGAGGGATCAAATTGAACAAGAAGAATAGTATAGGTCCTAAATTGCTTCAATTTTGAGTACAAGGACTATTTTGCACATTTTCACAAAGTATAGGGACTTGTATGGTATTTTGTCCATTAAGTGTTGATATGTTGTCTTTTCATCTGTCCCACAAGGATGGTCCACTTTCACTATTGAGCATATCATTAATGATTTAATTCCACGCGTGCGCGTGCACACATATACACACCATTAATCAATATGTTTGTGTGAACTATCTAACTAACATAATAAATATGATCCTAGGGTATATATGTAAAATAAATGTTAAATCTATAGTTTTAACTTTTAAGTACACAAGCTATCATTTCTTAAATCATGTGCCAAATAAAAATTAACATTTTTTAAGATAGGACTGTTGTGTAAGAAAATTCAATTGTCAAAAGTAATGAGTATCTACTCGAAATCAACTAACCTGCTCAAAATTTCGTCTTCTACCGAGGTCATATCGCCATTTTGTAGCCACCTTTTCAAATGCCTACAGCACAGAACATACGTGTCAAAGTCCCTACAAGAAAAATCAACTTACCAGATGATTCTATTAGCACAAGAAGGAACACCAGACACCTATTATTTAAGCCATGTTTGTTAAACAACATTTTGCTCAGCATTATGCTACTTTCAGCATTTTGACCAAAAAAAACATATTTTATTGTCAAAGTGCTATTTGAGGTGTTTGGTAAATTAATATTTTGAATTAGCAAAATGCTGATTTGAAAAGGTTGACAACATCAATATTTTGGTATTAGCATTTAGTTTTATTTTTTTGCATTCTATTAAGTTACCAAATATCTTTTTATAGTCTGTACTGGACCCAGATGACCCCACGGTTCCTATTAGGTAAAGAAACAAAAATAGTCTAAAGAGAACTGCATGAACTACAACAATAAGAATGTGATGTTTGAGGTGTTTCCACCACCCCAAAACTTTAGTGTTCTAACAGGTACTTTTAGGCAATTGGAGTGAAGGAATATTCACACCGCTCTAGATTCCTATCCAAACACACTCTTAGGTCATTGTGTAGGCATATAGATGCTCCACATGAGATGAAGTAAATAACTAGATGATACCTCAACAGTTGTGGTATTTCTTAACACCAATGAAATGTGCATAATCAAAAAACCAAGAACACTCAAAGCAAAAGCAAGGTTCAAAGCTGCAAAGCACAAGCGAAATGGTCAATTAATGTTTCAAAAGAAAAAAACAGGGTTGGATCAAATAATCAGAGAGCAGAGATTTCCTACACCTTACCAAAAGCAAGAAAAATGATTGCAAGAGATCCTGCAGAAACAGGTATTTCTTCATCACCAAAGAATGCTATGAAATTCGGTAGTAATGATGACGTTACAAGGGCAGTCTCAAGAAATGCGTAGAACTGAAAGCAACAAAAAACACTAGTTTACTTTAACCAGGATAAGCCATTGTGTTAGATGTTTAAACATTACTAACCATAATGAGAGCTCCTCACATAAATGTGTGTGTATGTATTGCACATTACAAAATAAAGGATAATATGCAACTCGAGGCATAATTACAGATATGTGTATACTTATATGTAATTATTTACAATAAGAAAACAAAGCATATCCCTTATGATAAGTAGCTGGTGTATCCTGTTGTGATAATGCTTTACAATGAACACACCCTACTATTTATTTATTTTTTTGAAAGCAAAAAAAAAGTAGGGTATGCTTTTTTTTAATATGCCCTACTATGATTGTAGTTTAAATTGATTAGAGAAACATGTAAAGTGTAAATACAACAACAACCCAGTTGAATCCCACAAGACGCGTACATTACCTCTACACGAAAGTAAAGTGTAAATACGCAAACTTAAATGATACTATGAATCTCATATGATTGAATAATTTATTCCTCATTCTTTCCCCCTTGGAAGGTTTCCCCTACTTATGCTCAAAATGCTTGGACATCGTGTTGAAGTGGCTTGGGCCAAATGGCGGTTGGCTTCAGGGGTGTTGTGTGACCCGAAGATTTCGCCCAGGATGAAAGGCAAGTTCTGCCGATCCGTAGTCAGACCTGCTATGTTATATGGGGCAGAGTGTTGGGCGGTTAAGAAGACTCATGTGCGTCGTCTGCATGCGACGGAGATGCAGATGTTACGATGGATGTGTGGGAAGACAAGGTTGGATAGGATTTCGAACGAAGTTATCCGACGTCAGGTAGGCATGGCGCCGGTGGAAGATAAATTGCGGGAAGCGAGGTTGAGATGGTTTGGTCATGTGAGACGGCGGGATGCTGACGCCCCTGTACGGAGATGCAAGCGGATTACGGTTTTCAGGGGAAGTGGGGGAAGGGGTAGACCTAAGAAGAATTGGAAGGAGGTGATTAGACAGGATTTAGGACTTCTCACCCTGACTCAGGATATTGCTTTAAATAGGAACCTTTGGAGAACTAGGATTAGAGTAGCTGGTTAGGAACTCAGTGCTACAGAGGTTTTTTGTAGTGTGTTGTGTTTGATTGGAATCTTCTATTAATGCTTGTAGAACTTTCATTTCATTGTACTTGGTGCTTTATCCATGCTATACTGTGTACCCTATCATATTTTTTGTGCAGGTTGAGTCGGGGGTCTCTTGGAAACAGCCTCATTGCTTCCGAGTAGGGGCAAGGTCTGCGTACACACACCTTCCCCAGACCCTACTGTATTGGGATCCAACTGGGTTGTTGTTGTTGTTGTTTATGCTCAAAATGCTTTATCCTCTAATTAATTAATACTGAAATAGTGGAAGACTGGAAGTTGAACCAATCTGTCAACACATATTACATAAAATCCAATATCATAAATCCAGAAGAAAAAAAGGTATCTGTATGTTATCCGTAATTAAAATATGATGAATACTAATAAAAACTTGATTGGCTCAGACCATAACAACTTCATGTATCCCATGCAAAATGGCATAGAAAATTCTATTACTCCAAATCATTTAACAACTTAATTGAGTGATTTCTCTACACCTACCAATTTGTCCTTAACTCAAAAAGCTTTGTTCTTGACACATTACTATTAATACTTCATTTATATTCTTATCCCTCCCTTCATCTTAAAAAATGATACACACAGATAACAAGACAAAGCATGACAAAGTGACAAACTAATTATAATTCAAATTCGATCATATCCAATTTAGTTTTAGAGAATAAAAGGTGTACATATTAATGATGTACAAAAGTTATAGGGAACACGAGAAAACCCCGAATATTAAAAATTATAAAATAGTCCAAGTTAATATGATAAAGAGTGTAACAGATGGTATATAAAGAATCTGACCCAGCATCAAAAAGCAACATTTTTGAGAACTTAAATAAACTAATTTTTAAGCTAACCACCCATTTACATAAGATAGATGGATGTTCCAAAGACAAGATTAGATGGTCGAAAAAAAAAGATACCAATCATACCATGGGAAAATATGAATTGTAGTTTATGCAATTGTATACTTTACTAATCCCTACATATGTCTATGTTGCCTTTAAAATAAAATACTCCCTCCGTCCCCCTAAGATGTTCTCATTTTGATTTTTGGTGGTTTTTAAGGAGAGTTGAAAAAAGGTGAACGTTTACCATAATACCCTTAATGAAAAATGGGTAGAGTGTATTAAATGAGGTGTGTGAGGTGTAATAAATAAAGTAAGTGGGGGTAGTTGTGGTATTTTACTTGTTAAAAAATGAAATGAGAAGATCTATTGTGGACAAAGAAAAAAGACTATTGGGAAGATCTATGGGGGACAGAGGGAGTAATAAATGTTGCTTTACTTGCTTAGTAGTTAGTATAGTAAGGGGCGAAACTTTTTTTAGTATAAAGGACGATGGAGTTCATAACTATATACGTTATGCAGACATATATGCATATGTGGATATGTATTTTGTATGTGAGTGTGGCCACTAACACTGTGGCACACAAATAATAGACACCCTAATGAACCTTATGAAGGAGAAAAAGTGTAAGCACAAACTGAAGACCAATCAATTGACATAGTATCTTATACATTTGATGGTATAGCTCATGTAGGAGTATTAGCACAAATAATCATACCAGGAAGAGAAGGAAATACTTGTAGTTGAAAGCTCCAACACAGTTCACGACCCACACACAGTGATGGTCCATTTTTAACACACACCGTCCACCTAAAGCAGGCAAACACCCAGAAGAAAATTATTGCTTGAACTGACGGGGAAGTTAAGAACAGAACATAAAGATGGAAGCACGAAAGGGAACTCACAGACAGAACAATGATGGCATCTAGGGGGCTTCAATTGGTTGCACTTTTTGCAAAACCGTATGGTCGAATGTGCCGTGTCAGCTGGCAAAGACGTAAACTCTGATGCAGTCAGCGGATCATTCTCTCCCCTTTCTTCATCTAAAGCTGGCTTCCAATTTGGCGGCACACCACCCGGATCCGTGAGAACAACAGAAAAGTAACTCCATAGTAGCATTGCCAACTGTGGTCATTGCAGAAAAAACCAGTTCCACTTTTAAACACTGTCCAATAACAAATACTCCGTATCTACACAACTGAGCACTTAAAGTGCATCATTAATGAAGATCCTTAATTTCACAAATCCTAAGTTCCTAATAACCAGTACTACATAGGAACTTTTTACACAAATTAGACTAAAATCTAAACCTATATTTCTCACAAATCATAAGTTCCCAATGAAAACGATCTCAGGATCTGCGGAGCAGCTCAATTTTCACAAATAAACCAATAAAATTACCAAAATTTTCAGTCTCCGTGAAACAGGCAACAGCAATATGTGATAGTGTCGATATAACTAAAAAACATCAAAACAAAGACACCAATTGTGAAAATCCACGCGGTTTACCAGGATGTGAAACAAAACTAGCACGGCGAAGGAGGTGAGGATACCGATGGCGCCGCCGCCGGCGAGCAAGGGCCCGTAAGTGTCGATGACAACGGCGTAATAGGTGACGCCGACAACCCCGAGGACCAAAAGGATCATGATTGAGCCCAGCCCGCGAAGGGCCGTGCAGAACCGGAATACGTTCCAGCTCATCACTGCTCCTGATCTACCATATAAGGAGAAGACCAACACCTCCGCTTTATATATATATCCAAATCAAACTTTTTGGAATAAAAAGATTTATTTCATTTATCTTGCTAAAAAATATCAAAAATTCATTTTTGAGTGATAGTATGTAATATGGATTCAATGTAATTTATGATTCAAAGTTATCTTCAAATTGGACAAATACTATATGACGAGAAATTGATTATATTTATTAGATTACTTTATACTCAGTCATACTTTAAAAACTAGGATGGTGTCTTAGAGACAATTTCTTCCTGATTCGTTAGAAATTTGAATTATTTAATCCACTCTACTCTCTAAAAACATAAAAATTTGAAAAGAAGTGGATGGTGGATGGATTTATGATAGATCTAGTATTCCCTTTTAGAAAGACTACAATGATGTTGTTGGACTACAAAGTCTTTGACTCCTTCTGCAAATATTATGCGAAAGATATTGCACTCCTCCTTTCTCCTTTGTCCCTTAGTCAAGATGTAATGTGATGAAATTAAACAATTGAAAACTTTGAATGAATGCACATAGTAGTTGGGTGGTAATTTTGTAAAGTACCTCATATAGAGATGTGTTTTCAAGAAAATCTCTTGGAAGACGATTAATCAAATAATTTGCATTAATATAACTAGGGCTCTAGATCTGAATCCAGAAGGTTGCTCGAAAAGAAAATCAATAGAAAAGTGTTATGAGTGTTTCAATAAGGTGATGACTTTCTGTAACATCGTTTTGCTCTAGGGTCTATCATATTATTTTTTATGAAGAACCACCAACTATTATAAAAGTTGGCCCAGTTTGATGTTCATAAATTTACAACCATTTTCAATGCAAATTTTTTTGTTACCCAAAATTAAATTTTGCTTGATTGTAAACTGAAAAATTTAAAAAAAAAAATATACAAGTCAGAATGTGTTGTGTGACTTTAATGTGCCACCTTATGTTGTGAAGGATTCTACTCGCGTAAGGAGTAAAGCTATCTTTTCATAAATTTCAGCTGGCATTTATTATATGATTTGTGAAATACATATTCTAGGAAAAGTAGTCCCGAGAGTTTTGGAATTCTTTATGGTTTTGGGAAGCTTCATTATTCTATGCAAGGAGCCACAATTTTTGAAACTTTGGGTCAAATATTCCTAATTAAACTCTACTAGGGTTATATGTATCCCCTTATATGTTCTACACCTCTCATCACAATTGATTTTGAGATGCAACCAAAGAGAGTTCATCGTATACATGAAGTGCATGCCGTACTATTCACATTTGCGTGAGATCATACAAAGCTTAGTTTTTCATCCTTGGTTCCTTAGGGATGTTGTACGAACATATTCAACGTATTTACCTTGTCATATCCAGAAGTGGATACAATTGTTGTTCTAGATACAAGGTGGATAACACATCCTTAAAGTCAAAATTAAATAAGGTGTAACAAGTCATGGAGATAGATGCAAACACAATTTATCGTCAAATCAAACGTAAGTAGATTACTCGATACATTAGCTAGATATAACCTATTGTAACCAAGGATATAGTCTTTACTATGATTTATTTAGTGGAAGAGCTGTTACACGGACATGGTCCCCGTAGACATAGGCTAGGAGACTTTGCTCCAATCTGAAGTGCGCAAATATTTTACTGTGTTGTTTACTGCTTCCATTATTACTATTTAATTACTTATAAGAGACATTGAAAATGTTACATCACCTTTCAAATTATTCATCTCAGTAGTTTGTAGTGTAACATCTTTGTGCCACACTTGCTTGTTCTCCTCGTGTTGGATGAACTACATATTACTTTTGGTTGGGTGATTGCTATCTCTCCACGAAATTTTTATTGGTATCTGAGCAGTTGAGCTTAAAATACTAACTTAAATTGTTTATGGGCAATATGGAGGAAAGGTGCAAATTTTCAAAGGTCACATCTTCGTGGGCCAAATTAATCTACAACTTTTTTATAGGAAGCATGAGAGCCTTTCTGAAATCCAAGGTGGTAAAATTTGGAGAAACATTGAAACCGGTTGGATTGAGCCCAGCAAGGCAAACGCTGAGGGAATTATAAAAGTTGTGAAGGTTTACAAATCATCAGGTCACCATTTTTTTGTAGAACTTTTGATGTATTTTTTGAAATATGATAATTATATTTGTATACCAATTTATAAATAAAATCACTTTAAAAAGAATAAAAAATTGCATGTAATTTGAAAGAATACAAGTTTTTTGGAAACGTGGAGAGTATTACTCTCATAAAATTCTGGTGATCCGAAAACAACAGAGCGAGTGTTGGATAAAATTAACTATTAACCACTTTCATATAAAGTCGGAATCTACTTTCTAACAAAAAAAACTTAAACTAATAGATACGAGTTCACCCTTCCACATATGCTAGTAATGTTTCTCTGTTTTTCCAACATGGGAACTTCAACATACTCTAACATGTTTTCGTTTTGGGATGACATTCTACATGATGAGTTCCCGGGGATCAAAACGATCCAAATGATGCAACTCATTGAACAAATAAACCAACACCACATGATGAGCTTCTTAATTAAACTCCCCCTTAAATTGGAGTTACACCTAGCCACAAACTCACTTGGTAAGTAATAATAATGGTTTAACACCTACCTTTTGAGCTATGCTAATTAATCAGCAAGCTCCTTGGCAAAATCAGCTTAAACTTTGAACATGAGTTAATTTAATTAATTATGCCAAAAGGGGATTAATATTATTGAGTGGAAAACAAACAAGTTTAAACCAACCACTCGTATTCATATATAGTTCCCTACTGCGACGAAGGCCTGAATCTAGCTCCGGGCAGGTGCCTCGACACGAATTCCCACGCTAATAACATGTGGAGGTCCGACGCCACCGCCGCCGCCGCCGTCTCTTGATCTTCGTTGTTGGAATTGCCGCCGCCGCCGCCGCACATTCCCCCAGTGTCGTCCGCCGGCGGCACCGGCCCGTGCTCCAGTGGCATCCGAGGATCGACGTCCAGCGTCATTCCGACCGAAGGGCGCGCCATTTCGAATGACGGGTCGAGGTTCACGCAACCGCCTGGCGGCCGCTCCGCCGCCGGAGGGAGGTGGTGGAGCGCTGATAGACGCGCTTGGGCGTAAGCCAACTCCGCTTGCAAATTAACCACCTGCAATGCGGACGTGTAGTAAACCATTATTACTAACGTCTTGTTTTGTAAACTTTTTTATATTTCAGGTTTAAAATATCTTTCATCCGTCTCAGTTTTGACTATAAATTGGGATTTATGAAATAAAATGTTTCATTTTTTGAAATCATTTTATTTAGAAATTAATATTTCAATAAAAAAATTTATATATTAAAAAACTATATCAAAAGTTTAGTAAAACAAGATTTGAAAAGAATATTTTATTATATCAAATAATCAATGAAAACAAAAAAAATTAGTTTAAGGTTACGAAAAGTGAGAGGAAAAAAATGTAATCAATTTTGAGACGGAGGAAATATAAATTTTATTTTTGAATTTTATAAAGAATATATAAATTTTTGATTACTTCAAAAAACTATAGAATAGAAACTAATACTCCCTCCGTCCCAGAAAACATAAGAGTTTTGATTTTGAAGAGTGATTTAAGAGGAGTGTATTTTGGTATTGAATTCCCAAAAATATCCTTTAATGTGATGAGTAAAAGTATGATTTGATGGATAGATTATTAATAAAAAGGTATGATGTGATAAGTAGGGTATGAAAAAGTAAGGGGTAAAAGTGACTTTTTAATAGAAGTGGGAAGTGTTTTTTGGGACGGATGAAAAAAGAAAGGAGAAAGGTTTTCTGGGACGGAGGGAGTCGAAAAGTAGTTTCTAAACACAACCTCAAAGACCCTTTCATATATTGTATTTCATTAGTTCTAAATTAAGTTGTCTGCTTACCATTCCTCATAAAATCAAGCTTTAATTTATCCATTATCTTTCCTTATTTTCTTTCCCTATTTTATAAAATAATATAATCATATCATCTATTGTAGACTTTTTGATATACTTTTTTAATATATAAAATTTATTTTTAAACTTTGCCCCAATTCTTTAATAGACTATATTAAAAATAACACTGGTTAAACATCATAAATTAAAACAGGAGACTTAAATGAGGACGGAGAGAGTAAAAATAATAGAGGGATACCAAGTTTGTATCCTAATTTGTACACCCGTGTATCAGAGACACACACAGACAAAAATCTAAGGTCTTACATTCTTGGGAGAGAAAAAAGCTAGGAGTAAACCAAGTTTGTACACAACTTGTACAACACCAATTATTGTTTATGTATGTTGGTGATATTATTGTGTAAGTTGGGATACAAATTAAACTTGGTGTACCAATTTTTCTCATTCAAGAAAGTAAGATCTTAGCTTCAAATTAAACAAAGAAAAGTTACTTTTTTTTTCTTTTTTCTACCACTTTTTCATAACATGAAAGAAAAATAGAACCCCATCCATATTAACACAAATGAAGCAATACTGTTAAAGTTGAAGTATTTTAAGTACAAGTGTTCTTTTGTTAATTCATCATTTGGAGTAGGGTGAAATGTCAAATAAGTGGGACAAATAGGACATGAAATTTGTCTTTGATATATGCAAAGACATATATGTTGTGCCTCATTGTTATGTCAAGAATCAAACTTAAATAGTTACTTTTTACGTCCCTTCTTTGAATGGTACAAGATTAACTAATGGTATCCATTATATACTCTATTTGTTCTTGAATATTTATCTATTTTTAACTTTTTCAGTCAGAATTATAAATTTGACATCAAATGAAATAAAAATATTATTAGATATTGATATAAAAATAGTTTTATTAGATTTATTATGTCAAATATTTTCAAAATATTACTTTATCTAATTAATATACAATAAATATTTTATTTCATTATAAGTAAAAAATTAAAAACAATTGACCAAAAAAAATAATTCTTGATAAATACGCAAGGATAAAGGTAGTAATTTGTTAAGATTAAATAATTGTCATCTTATGAAAAACATTCAATTTTTTCACTATTTTATTTTCCTCAAAAGAAAAAATATTTGGCGAAATAAAATAGGCCGAGACTTTCATGTTCTAAAAATTACCCTAAGTTTTTTTTTTTTCGTTCTCACAAACAAAAACATATTTGTTAATCAACGTTTTGTGGGAACGAGAAGAAAATTAAGATAACTTTTACATCAGTTTAGCATTTTCCAAAAAGTAATTAATGATCATAATGTGATTGTAGTACTGTCACTCCGTAATTACACTACTATAAACAATTAAATTCTTTAGATTTACTCCATATTACCCATATTTTATTTTTGTCAAATACTCCCTCCGTCCCGGAAAACATGGGAATTTTGATTTTGAAGAGGGAATTAAGGAGAATGTATTTTGGTATTGAATTTCTAAAAATGTCCTTTGATGTGATGGGTAAAAGTATGATTTGATGGATAGATTATTAGTAAAAAGGTATGATGTGATAGATAGAGTATGAAAAAGTAAGGGGTAAAAGTGACTTTCTAATAGAAATGAGAAGTGTTTTTTGGGACGGATGAAAAAAGAAAGGAGAAATGTTTTCCGGGACGGAGGGAGTATAATCTAAGGCAAATTTTTAGGTGAATCTAAATATTTATGAACCTTCTTAACAATTAGACACGTTTTCAAAATATTTTCAATAAACTCTGATGCGTAATACTCCCTCCATCCCACAAAATCTTTATGATTTTGACTTTTTAAAAATTTAATGCGTGTTTTTTGTATTGAATTTCTAAAAATGTCCTTGGATGTGATTAGTAAAAATAAGACCTGATGTGTAAATTAATAGTGAATAGATGTAGTATGATTTGTAAGTTGAGAAATACTACGAGTAAAAGTAACTTTTTTCATATAAATGAGAAATATTTTTTGAGACAAATGAAAAAATGAAGAAAGATGAGAGAGGGAGTATTAAGTAACAAGTGCTCTCTATTTGATTTGTCCTGTTTGAACTTTGAATTGATGTTTCTACTCCGTATTTTTTTGTACATCCTAATAAATTTTCTTTCTTTTTGGATTGTTGATGTCAATGACATTTTTTCTTTCTTTGGAATAAATTTCAATGAGGTAAGTTGGAAAAATCAAAGGCGAGGGAGGTAGCAAATTATTCACACTTTCCCTCCTAAAAATAAATTCTTGATTTTTTTTAGAGTTAAAATTGAAAAACTCTGACCATAAAATTAAGAAAAAATATACTTCGTACTGAATAATACAGATTAATGTAAAGAGTAGTTTAATACTCCCTCCATTCTTGAAAATATTTCTTGAAATTTCTTGAGATTAACTGATAAAACTCATACATAAAGCTTATTGGTTTTGATTTTAGATTCCACCATGAAGACTAATAATTGAGAGAAGAATGATCATTTCAGTTTTAAGTTTAAAGCTTCAAATTCAGCGACGAGTTTGGAAAAGAGTACGAGAGGAGAGAGGAAGTTTAATTGATGAGAAAGAAGTTTGAATATACAATTTTATCCATGTTCTTAACAAAATCGTTAACAAAAGACCATTCGTGAAACATAATATAATAATTAGAGATTAAATTAGTAATATTTGTTATGTAGGGACAAAATATGTAAAATGACCTATACCTAGGGACCTTTTATTTTAAAATAGAGAGAGTATATGTCAAAAATAGTGACTGAGTGAGTGGGAATGAGTAGCAACTTGTCAACTACTGTATAGAGTCTAGAGTCGTACACTAGAAAAAAAATAAAATAAAAATGTTCAAAGAAAACCTATAGTTGCACCATTTCTTACGACATTGACTGCTTTTTTTTTCTTTTTTTTTCCTTCTTTTTTTTTTTGTGTTGGCACTTAAACTGCGTAGTTCCTCGAGCGTTGAATTCGAACAAAGCATGCAAATCACTCTCTATTTCAAACTTTCTTTATAAAAAAATAAACACAAACACGTACACCACTTGAAATATTTTTGTCCATATGTATATGATGTGAAAGTGTGACAAAAGTTTGACCTCCAACAACGATGATAAAAGACGACGACAATATGTATATGCGGTGTTATCGGTGTAACATGAAGAACTCGTTGTACGTATTGGTGACATATCACGCGTCTAATTTGTCAAACTAAAGTTACAATTCAATTTATCTTCTATAAAGTAACGGTTTGGACGGTCCTAATTCTTGACTTAATCCCGGAGAAAATTAAATGATCTCACACAACCCAATAGGTCTTCAAAAATAACATTCTATTACATCTCCGATCTCGTTGTCTTTGTCCAATTTGATTTATTATAGTTAAACAAGAGAAGTTTTGATTATCAAATGACAGGATTACATGTTAATTCATTATATTTGTGCTGTAAAATATTCAAAAAAATTAGTCTTATTTTATTCCCGTAATATATACATTGTGATACTTTTAATTGATCATCAATTCGATCATTTGGAGAGTAAAAACTCAAAATGAACAAATACATTGAGACCAAGGAAACACGTTTTTACTGTTCCCAAAAGCAATTTCTTCCTATTTTCTTGGAGCACCCCAAAAACACTTTAATTCCACCTATAATGTTTAAAATACTCCCGAACAACTTCTAATCCCAATAAAAAGAAATGAGATGTACTCACGAGGATTTTCCGTGAAGGTATAAGCATTTTGCAAGATGCTCAAAAGATATCAGTAGCACTATTTTTTTGAAACTGGGGAAAATAATTCATGGATTGTTATATTATACAAAAAAAATGATGAACCCCATCCCCGAGGGTTCCTTAGACTCGACTAAACGATCATTGAGAAGAGATAAGTTAGACTTTGGTCGTCTCCCAGCGCAGTTGTGAGTAATTGAATTCGAATTTTATCCCTTAACATTCTTACCTTGCCAACTAAGCAATGCCCTCAAACTAAATTTTTACAACAATAAATTTAGAAAGAGATACGTATATAATTTAGAAAGAGATATAGGCTTCCCTTAAAATATTAGAGATAGGTTTGTTTAGAAAGACGATTCATATAACAGTAGTGTTTTGGACATTTTTTAGAAAAATAATACTCCGTACTTCATACTCCGTATCTAATTAGAAGTAAAACTGCTATCAAAACAGGATCTTCATCAATATTTTTATAATAAAAGTAAAACTTATGACAAATTCCTAAAAAAACCAGGAAAATTAATTCAAATAAATAATTCCAAAAAACAATATAAAAATTATAAATTCACAATGCCAAATTGTGGCATTTCATGATGGCGAGACTCCTATTTAGGAGAGATAAAAACATGTCATGAGTATTTTCATTTTGATATAATTAAGGTTCATGTTTTAATTTTATTGAGATAGATTTTTTAATTTTCTCTAGAGGTGCAATTTAATTTTTAAAAAATGAAAAATAACGTTGAAAGTTATTGTTGAATATTTTTTTTTTTTGAAATTATAAATTACTGGGAAACTTGGAGAAATAAAAATAAAGAGTAAATTATATAAAAGGTCCCCAGTTATAGGTCGTTTTATATATTTAGTCCCTACATATCAAATATTACTAATTTAGTCCCCAATTATTATATTTATTTCCACGAATGGTCCTTTATTAACATTTCCGTTAAGAACGTGGATAAAATTGTATATTCATACTTCTCTCTCTCCTCAATTAAGCTTTCTTCATCTTCTCATACTCTTTCCCAAACTCGTCGCTGAATTTGAAGCTCTTAAACCCAAAATTTAAATGATCGTTCCTCCAGTTAGACAAACAATTGAGAGAAGAGTGATGATTTTGGTTTAGTTCAAAGCTAGAAACTCAGCGACGGGTTTGAGAAAGGAGTACAAGGGATGAGAAAGCTTAATTGAGGAGAGAAAAGAGTGTGAATTTATAATTTTATCCACGTTTTAATGAAAATGTTAACAAAGGACCATTCGTAGAAATAAATATAATAATTGGGGACCAAATTAGTAATATTTGATATGTATGGACTAAATATGTAAAACGACCTATAACTGGAGACTTTTTATGGAATTTACTCAAAAATAAATTATAAAAACCTGTTGTTGAAGAGAGAAGATGTGGCCAACGCAGCCGTAGACTGGGTCTCGAGCCCTAGCGAGAGCTTCGTAGCAGATGGTGACGACGGCTTCGAGGCGGCGGTTCTCCGGGACGGCGAGCAGCATCTTGGCGGCGTTGCTAGCTCCGAACACCTTGTGCACGGCGGCGAAGTGGGACGTGCCCAGCTGATCCGACTCGAAGTATGGCGCGAATATGCACCCGCTCACGCACTTCCTCCTCAGATACTTGCATGCGCCGCATGGCCCTCCTCCTCCGCCGCCAACGCCGCCGCTCATCCTCCGATCAACCTGTAGTCGCCGCCGCGCGTGGGTATATGACCTAGATGTATATGTCTATTTAGTTAGTGATGAATAAATGATCAGCGCGTGGGGCCGGGCGGGCGGTGGGGGAGAAGAAAGCTAAAGAGATCGAAGTGAGCTAAAGATTTGGGGATCGAAATGGTTGGAGGATTTGTTTAAATATTGGCATGTACGACCTTTTCTACTCTTTTTTTATTCTCCATCCTAATACTCCCTCGTTCAAAAATAGATTACATAGTTATTTTTAGAGTAAATTCCCAAAATAGTCCTTTGTAATGAGTTGTTTTCTCAAATCAGTCATCAATAAGTTTTAATTACCGACGTGGTCCTCTATAATTGATATTTATTCCCAAGATGATTTTTCGTAAATAATGTTACTCAAATGAGGATTAATTGAGGGTATTTTGATATTTTTTATTCGCTAAATTTAGAATTAATTCTTAAAATGATCATTTATAATGACCAAAATGATTTTTTCTAATTAAAGATTTGCATTTGATTTGAAATTTAAAAGATTTTTTATAAGCTTTAAATAATTCATGAATTATTTATAGTCGATGTATTTTTTCAATTTTATATTTAGTTGTATAGAAATAACTATTTTGAAAATATACTTTAAATTTGGATGATCAAAATACCAAAATATCTCCCAATTAATCATCATTTGAGGACTATCTTGAAAATAAATCTCAATTATAGAGGACCATGTAGGTAATTAAAACTTATTAATGACTGAATTGGGAAAATACCTTATTACTAAGGACTATTCTGAGAATTTATTCTTATTTTTATGTCTTCTTGATAATATTTACAGAGTATTTGTTTTGTGTTAGACAATAATAATAGTTATCTATCCCATTTTAAATTGCATATTTTTCTTTTTTTCTTCGTCCCAAAATAAGTTGTTTGTTTCTTGTTATCGTAAACTTTTAAGGATAAAATACATAAACTACTCCTAAAATAAGTTACTCTTCTTCACCTTATCTTTTCATTCATCGCCATCCCTCCTAAAAAGTAATGACAATTTCCGAAAGTCAACTTTATTTTTTCTCTTCTTTAAATATGCCCCAAAGTCAAAATGAGCAATTTAAAATGGGACGGAGGGAGTATTAGTTATGGTAGTCTTTGGCTTCTGTTCTTAATTATGGTAGATGTTGTTTTTTAATTAGTTTACATTCTCTATTTCTAATTGTGTTAAGAGTCTCTCCAATATATACTCTATCATGTACTTCATAATTCAATGAGCAATATTATTATTCTAATATTTCAACATTTTGAAACAACGCTTCCTAAATAGAAATAATTAAAAATATTAAAATATTAATTTAAAATAAGAGTTTTGAATCTAAAAAATACAAAATAAGAATATAATTAATGACAATGTGATGTAAGAATATGCGTTGACAGTGTAATGAAAAAAAGATGACATTGTAATATATTAGTGTGATCAGTCAACCTTCGGTGATCCACGCCGGCACTCTGGTGGCTAGCAGCGACGGATGACAGTGTGGCGGCCGATGATAATACGGCAGTTACAATGTGACAATGGGCTGAATGTGGCAGTGTAACAATGACAATGTGAACTTCTATTTTAGTCTTAAAAGACTTATGACTCCTATTTTAGTACTTTCATAATTTTTAACTCCTATCTAGAGAGATCTTCCTTATTTTTATGTCTTTATTGATCATTTCATAATATAAAAATTATTATCACCACTTATTTTATAGAACTTTTGATGTAAATTTTGAATAAATATGTAAGTTACATTTTTTATAGGTATACATAGTAATTTGTAAATAAATTAAATTTCAAAAGTACGAGATTTTACACATTCTTTAAATTGTGTAATCCAATTTGTATCTGAAATTATTTTATAATAGGGAAAGAGCCTAAATTATGAGTAAACATATAGAGAAAGTACTAAAAAAAAGGCATCATGTTTTTATTTACAAAATATGAATTACTCCACCCATCTAAAAATTATCTTTCTATTGCGCGTTATCATGTTTGACTGAAACTATTTTCAAATAATTTTATATGAAAATTGGTGTATGTGAAGTTAAAAAATTAAAATTATATATTAAAAAACTACATAAAAAGATCTACAAGACTAGAGGACATGACCATATTATTTTATCAATTGGGTAATGAAAATAGACCAATAAAGCGAATAAAGTTTGTCCCTATGAATAGTGAATGGAAAGATAATTTTTTAATGAAAGGGAGTACAATACTAATAATATCAACATATAATATCAAAATATTTTGTGGAATATAATGTCAATATACAATACTGTTATATTGGCACAATACAAACTCCTATTTTAGAGAAAAAATATAAAGCTTCTATTTTGGTACTCCATATTTTTTATGTTTTACTCTTTTTTGGGTGATTTCATAATCAGAACTAATCTGGAATGAAAGTAAAACATATCATTTATGCTCAAAATATGAGCAGGGCCGGCCCATGACCTGTGGAGCATGTTCAATTGCACTGGGCCAATAAAACAGAGGGCCCAAATTTTTTTAGATATTCAACACCCCAATACCCTCAATATTCCATAGTTTTCTTAATTCGTAATCTTTCGTCATTCCCATGAGTAATTTACCTAAATAGGACTAAAACATAATGACTCTCCCAATATAGGACCATATGTTTTTATTTCCCAATGTAGGACCTTTGGTCATTTATAACTAGTCATTATTCAAGTAAATGTCCATCATTACTGGGCATTATTCCTTCCACTAAGACATTATTAAGTCCTATTTAGGGAATAAAAAAATTTAAGTCCTAGATTAGGAAAGTCATTATGTTTTAGTCCTATTTAGTGCAAATTTCACTTTTATTTTCTCTTCCTATCTCTTCTTTAGATTCTTATTCGCTTTGTTTGGTCTATTTTCATTTTGTTTAGTTGCTATTTATTTAATCCAACGAAAAAAAGTAAAACTATACATTGTTTATTAATTACTGATGGATACCCCGCGCCAGAATGGGGGTATCCGTCCCAACTAGGCCCACCCACTCGAATGATTCGGACGCGCTTTGCTGAGGGACCCCGCTCGGGTAAGTAGGAATTAAGAAGAAACCAAGGTCTCAATGTGACAACCTCATATGGATGCATATCCATGCTCGGGGTCGACCCGGTTGGACCCTCCATGGATGACCTCTAATAACTAAGCATGCGTGCTCGGCATCTGCCACCAGCTACGCATCATGGGCCCACTATGGCATGGTAGCATGTACGCCTCGTCCAATCAGCGAGCCCACGATTGGACACCCTGATACGTTTGTCTGTACGATTGGTTGTAGCCACCCTATTGTCTACCCCTTGCTTGTAGCCACCCTAGTTTATAATCATATTGGTGCGCCGTCAATCGAACAGCCTGACCTCGGTGGGCCCAGCCCGTTAGGCTATAGACTAACTATTGGAAAGCTCAAACATGTATTGTATAAATACCCTTCCCCGGAAGGGGAAGATACACGTTCACTTTGACTACCAAGCTAATATACTTTTCTCTACTCTTACAACCTAAAACACTCGGTACTTGTTCGATACTCTTCTACCTAGTCTACTAGCTAGGTTCCGGATTCTAAAACCCAAGAATTACATTACGGAGTACAAATCAATAAGAACATTATTTTTCATTTTAATTGGAAATGACGGAGCATTTTTTGAAAGAGATACTCATTAACTTAATCTATGTATGGTAAAATCAAAAGATATAAAGAAACATTCAAAAAAAAAAAAAGATATAAAGATTACGGAGTATGTTTTTATGTAAACTTATCTTACTCCATAATCAATTTTTTTTTATTTTACATCTTCATTGTAAAAAGTACTCTGTATATAATTAATATATGTTTCATATGAGATGATTCATATAGTTTGAGTTTATTAGGGAATACATCAGGAAATTCACACACAACAACCCGCGTAACCCGAATCAACAAGTTAGCAAACTAAGGTTGCTACTAATTTGGTGTAACACTTCGGCTTCACCCTGGTTGGAAGCGTCTTCTCATAGGATTGTAGACTGACCCCACAAACCAACACACGTTTTTCCGGCATACTTTATTCTCACTCGTGCGCACCAAGAGAATTTCAAGGGGGGTCATCCATCCTAGAATTGCTCCAAGTCCAGCACGCTTAACATTGGAGTTTCTTAGTGATAAGCTATAGAAAAGATGATTAATATTGTTGGTATGAGTAGTACTATACATCCTTTGAAACTCTTTTCATTCCAATCTTAACACAGGGTATAACATTATTTTGACTCTATGACATACCTATATTTTATTCTTTTACTTTACTATCTTTTCACCTTTGGGGTAGTTAGGTCACTAAGTTTCGTAACTCGGATTCACGTGTGGAATATACCGTTGGACTTATCTCTTCGAGACCTATAATTCTAATATAAATTTGACCATAAAAAGATATCTTTGGAAATATCTTATCTAAGCCATGTCGCTTCAAATCCTATTTAATTTAGATGAAAATCAAAACTGTGATTTATTATAAATTTATTTTTAAATTCTATGGTATATTTCAGGGCATTGCAGAACAGATGTCATTAAGCTTTGTGGATTCCTTTCAAACGTCCCTAACATAGAAGAGGAAAGCTTCGCACTTGTGAATCAACCATTAGGCATGCACAAATGAAATAAACTATATATCGTGCTTTAAGAAATAGCTCGCCGATCACAATGACGTCCTTGCCATCGTCGCTCATCAATCATACGGTCCTTGCATGGCAATCTACCACGACTTGGTGCTCAGTAAGCTAGTCCATACCAAGGATAATGTCAAACTCCTCCTATGGTAACTCGATCAGATTCACAGGGAACTGCCTCCCTCAAAATGACAAAGGACAATTTCAGAAAGCATGATGCAGGATCATGGTGTGCCTAAGGGGATTGGACTCCAACATCGTATTCTCTAATTGACTTCTCACAGTCTCGCTCACGGCAGGCAAGGGCACACATAGATATGACAAAGTAGATCTAGGGTCAATTA